GGTTTGATTCCCAGTCAGGGCACGTGCCAGGGGGTTCGGGCTCAATCCCCAGTCGGGGGCGTGCAAGAGGCAGCCGCTCAATGACTCATTGGTGTTTCTCTCTCCCCCCCCCCTTCCTCTCTCTGAAATTAATAAAGATGAATTAAGAAAAAGAGAAAGAAATGAGTAGCTCTCTACTGATTTCCAAAATATATTACGTTGAAAAGTCAAGATAAGAAAAGCTGAGTAGATGATGCCTTCATTTGTGTGAAAAGAGAAAGGAATAATATATTTATATTATGTTAGTGCAATGGTGGTGGTTGCCAAAGGTCTGGGTGAGAAGGCATTTCCTTTTCACCGTGTACTTTTCTGTTCTGTTGGGAAAATGTCTAACCACTTGCATAAAGTATTAAATTTCTTTAAATTAACAACAGGACCCCACCTTAATTCCAGAATCTCTTCATTTGGGAAGCCTGAGCTGGCCCTTTGCCTCCCTTCCCAGGGAGTTTCACCCTCCTCAGACTCCCTGATTCACCACAGTGTTTACCTCTGTTACTTTGTACTTTACAGCACTCATCCCACTGTATCGAATGTAGCTGTCCCCATAACTGGTTTCCCTAGAAAAGCACCTAGAAGATAGGATCAGTATTGTGTTCATTTTTATGTTCCAAGGATACAGCACAAAATAACACACACACACTTTAAAAAAAAAAAAGAATGAATTGTGCCCTAGCTGGTCTGGCTCAGTGGTTAGAGCATCAGCCCGAGGACTGAAGGGTCCCTGGTGATTCCAGCCAAGGGCAGGCTGGATCCCTGGCCCCCAACAGATCAAATGTGGGNTATTGTGTTCATTTTTATGTTCCAAGGATACAGCACAAAATAACACACACACACTTTAAAAAAAAAAAAGAATGAATTGTGCCCTAGCTGGTCTGGCTCAGTGGTTAGAGCATCAGCCCGAGGACTGAAGGGTCCCTGGTGATTCCAGCCAAGGGCAGGCTGGATCCCTGGCCCCCGACAGATCAAATGTGGGAGGCAACCAACTGGTGTGTCTCTCACATCGATGTTTCTCTCTCTCTCTCTCCCACTCTCTCTGAAAGAAAAAAAATATCCTTGGGTGAAGATTAAAAAAAAGAATGAATTGGAAACGTCACCTAGCAGAGTCTCTCCCACCACTGCCCTGGTCCTATTCTGGTTGCCCCCAGGAGAGTCTGAGCTCAGCAGACTCAGCACTATAATCTGTCCCCATCCTGTACTATCAGATAGCCTCATCAAATCCTCTTATAGTTCGTGCTACACCTGACTTTTCACCATTTTTCTAGTTGCTGTTGGTTTGCCCTATTTTGTGTGCTTTTTAAAAAATCCACAATGCCCTCACACTCCTTGCCTTTGCACATGTAGTTCCCTCTGCTATTGTCCTTTCCTATTTCACCAGCTAAGTCTCCTGCATTCAAAGTCACTTCCTCTTTGAAGCCTTCCTGTTTTTCCCCTGCCTTAGTCAGATACACTTAACTTGATGTTCCCATGGCTCTCTGATCAAATTTGTGATCTATCATTTATTGCAATTTTACATGTTAGTCTACCTGACAAAAATAAGTGCTCTGCATAGAAGGGGATTTTTTTACCTTGTTTATCTCACTCTTTCCAGAATTTATGCCTGGCACATAGCAGGCACTCAATAAATAATTGTTGCGTGAATGGGTTAATGAACAAGTTAATAGTAAGTGCTCGTGATACTATTTTGGTGGGTTGCACATAGCAGTCATCTGTTACTTATTTGGGGCAACACACCTGTATGCTGTGTCATATTCATATCTTGGCCTGGCACGTTGAACTGGAAGCTTTTCGTGGTGTTTACCACTCTCATGCATGCAAAGAAACCTAATTACAAAAGCCCTCCTTAAGGCCCTTAAAGTACAATTATCATATTTAACAAGTAAAAACACAGTTAAATTTCTGATAAATAATATTTTAGTGAAATAATGTCCCAAATATTACTTATACTAAAAATTATTGTTTATCTAAAATCCTAATTTGTCTGGGTGTCCTGTATTTTATCTGACACTCTTACCTCAAAGACTAAGATTTCCAGACCCTGTCTTCCTGCACTGAGACCCAAGAATTCTTGGAGGATTTTATGAACTATGCAATTTTATCATCTTTATTAAATAAATAGGCAACACAAAATCTCCCAACTCTGCTTACTAATATTTTTACACATAAGCACTTTGTTTTCTTCCACAAATCTTTTATTATATTTTAACCATCTATAGGTTAGAGCCTAACTTATAGTAATTTAGCCTCTTAGCCACTTAGCAGGAGAATTGGATCTGAGAGGGAAAATCTAGGTGGCTCCATCTGAATTCTCTATACTGTATACAGCACTTTCTTTCCATCTTTACTCTGCAAAGATTATCCCCAGGCACAGTAGGGCTCCTCTCGTCCACCGAAACCCTGCAAAGCTCTTTGGGCTGTAAAATGCCACTTCCCTGTGGAGGAAAGGGGACAGTCACAGTACCCAGCGCTAGCACCTGCACTCGCCTAGCTCAGCAGCCATTATGTATTATTACAAATTAGGCTTTCTACAAGACTTTTAAAAGTTGAAAACCTTATCTGATCTTAAAAGGGGGCATTTTGAGGTTTCAGTTTCTTAGCTCTGATAAATGATCTCATAGGCCAAAAATGCAGGCACCAACTGCAACTGCACATATTTTTGTTTCAAAGGCACAGTTCCCCGTGACATTAAATCTGCAGGTTCAAAGTGGATGACAACTCTTCACAACATTCCTTTTTTGTTACTTGTAATTAGTTTTCCCTGTGATTCTAGAAAATAAGATAATATCACAAATGCCATCCCATCTGTGCCATCCAAACTTGAAAATTACACGCTAAACACTGTCCTGGGTGTCTAAACTCCTGCAATCAAAGCCCTGCGTTCTGAAAAATGCAAAACTGGACGTCAGAAATTGCTAAAAAGCGGCAATTGGAATGTGAGAGAAATGTAATGAGACTTAAACATAGCCCAGAAACCTGGTGAAAATGGCTCAGTGGGAGGTGGAAAATCAATTTACCTGGGCCCTGGTAAGACTGGAGCCTCGCCTCCGGCTGTCAGGACCATCCACTGAGACTCCCAGGCCGAGTCTGCACTCGGAGCCCGAGGCCAGGGAGGGGAAGGGTGGCCTGATGGCAGTTCTCAAAAACAAAAAGAAACTGCCACCGAGCCAACCATCTTTGATCTTCACAAATAAACTGAAGAGACAGTGTGTCAACAGCTTTGTTCCGGGAAGGCCGGGGTTTCTTTTCCGAGCAGCTGCCTGCAGGCAGTTCCTGGCGAGGGCGACCGCTGCGGCCGCGAGCGCAGTGCAAAGGCCCTGGATGTTTACGTGCAAAACCCAGGAGAATCGTGTTATTTCTTCCTTCAGAAAAGTAGGATAGCAATCAGCTACCGCTCACCTTGCAAATCACAAAAGCTTCTAAGGTGAAGAGAAGTTCTTTGACGACTAAGCAGCAGGAGAAATCTCAGAGATTATCCTACGGTGTAAACTGATCTATTAATAGAAGACAGATCTGATGCATGCTGGACCCATCCTGTGGCCTCTTACACACGCTCGTCCTGTGTTTTTTGGTTTGTTGATTTTTAGTACGTTATAATTTGTCAGTTCATCTGTCAAAAATGAGTTTTCATTGCTGCGGAGCCCGATCATTTTAAACCTGTGCATAGTCAATGTGACTTCATGAAGTTTCTTTTGTCCCACCCCGTGTGCTTAGCAGAGTTGATATTTCAGGGCTTTGGTGTTATGTCTTGATAATGAGGAAATCTATTCATTCCAACACATTTGCCGAATAACAGACTAGGCCTGCCTTGGGAACTGACTTCGAGCTGAAGTTTATTTCCTCTCCGAAGGTAAAATGGAGACACCGCTTCCCATTTCAGCTTAACAGGGTGACGAGGGCGGGGGCTCGGCGCAGGAAATGTGCGGGCGCCTTTAAGAGGCGCCTCTGTACTTTTCCACCGCCCTCGCCAGCCCCGCCCACGCGGCTGCCAGCCTGCAGGGCCTGGCGGACTGCGGCTGCGCGGCGGGCGTGCGCATCTCGTTGCCTGGATACCGCCCCTACCGCCCCCTCCGCCCCCGGCGCTCGCAGCCCTTTTGTTTCCAAGATGGCTCCCCCGTCCTGTCTCCAAGCGCCAGGAACAAAGCCGGTTGAGCGCCCTTGAGCTCAGCAGAAAGCCCAGAGTTGTATGGCCGGCTTTAAGAATGTCCAGTGTCAATATTTATTCACTTCCATAACCTTACAAAAGTGGTTGTAGTTAGGTTGTCTGGGCGGGAGAAGCACCAGGGAGTGCCCCAGGGTGTGCCAGCCACGGCCTCGGCCTTCCTGTGGCAGAGCTTTTGGCTTCAAAGGTGACGCCTTCACTTCTTTTGATAAGAATTCCGGCTTTTCCTGTTTAAATAGCTCCGGAGGAAGTCTTTGGAGATTAAAACTGGACTATCGACTATATAATTATGTGGAGCGCAGTTAGGTAATGGCACCGGGCAGTCCTCTGCCCTTGACAAATACCTGTTGAGTTTCCTTCTTTTCTTTTTCTGGAAAGGTTGGTTTATGCCCAGGTTGGTCTTACGGTACCATATTAATTATTGTAAGGCTGTGAACTCCGGGCACAGGCACTATGTTTGCCTCATCTTTGTGTCCCGGTCGTGCCTCTGCCTATAGCATGTCGCTGTCTGTCTGATACACAGGCCCGGGGGGCTTCTCACTCCGCCTGGCGCCCTGCGGCGGGGCGCAGGCCCCCGTCTCTCTGCCATGTCCTAGGCGGAGAAACGGGGGCGCCTGGGCCTTAGGCGAGCGCCAGAAGCGCAGCGAGCGGCGGGGAAGCCGCGGTTCACGCCCCGCAGTCGGGCCCCGCGTCGGTAGGTGCCCGGGCCCCGAGGGCGCGGGCCTGCGCCCCTCCGCCGCTCCCCGGCGGCGGTGAGAGCCTCTCCCGGGAGCACCTTGGGCTTTGTTACGAGCACACTCCTCACGTTTGCATCAGCCCCGGCCTTAGGTGCTGAGCGTACTCGGAGCCGACCTTCATGGCAGGCGTTGGGGAAATAACTAAAAATCGACTGCCAACCTAAAAGACCTCTCCACGAAAGTGGAACAGAAAGAAAACAGTTCTGTTATCCAATAGGCATGAAACCAAAATATGATGTGCATCTGAGGCAACTCATCCCCTGAGAAATTGCAAAGGCACATAGCTGAGCAGGCAGACCCCCTTACATACCTGTTCTCAAGATAAACAAGCGGTCCTCAGGTAGGAGGACCTCGCTGCACCATTTGTCACACGTAGTTCAGTCTGAATTCACCTTGGTAATTGGTAGCTGGTTAATCTGTTAGCTAATTAGTTTATCTGAAAGGAAAAATAAGCTTGTATTTTTATAACAGGAGGAAAGTGTGTAATTTAGAACCGAAGTTAGAGTCCTACTCTCCCAGAGAAACTGGGAAATAGGGATGTTATCTTCCTTGGTGGTGACATTTCAAAGAGATGGCTCCCAGGTCATTGAGAAAGACATCCCTGGGTTCTAAAGCTGTTAAGAGGCTTATTTAGCTTTTGAAAAGGTTTACATACTTCTCAAAGGGGCATAGAAGAAATTTACATCACAAATTTTCTAAAGTAAATGCTGAAAGGAAAGGAGGGGCTGTCTCCCCCTTTCCCTACTGGGGAGATCTGTTTATTTAGATTTGTGTTTACTCTGACACAGGATACAGAAACAACTCAGGCCAGCTCTTTCATCAGAGTCCGCTTGCATTTAAATTTTTACCTCATTGGCCCCCCACCCTTTCCACAGCCAAATAGTAGGACGCCAGAAGTGTATTACCAAATGCCCAGGGTTACCCTTTCTATTCTGATTCAAATTCTTCCTGGTTTCTTTGAAATTACATCTAATTCCTAGCAGATGCTGAGTGAACCAGCGTGCTGCACCGGACGGTGAGAATATGTGTCAGAACGGCCAAAGGGACCACTGGCTTTGATGGTCTTTTGAGTTCAGTCTTCAATCTTCCTTCCTCCCTTTTCATTGCACAGCCTTGGAGATGCCTGGCAGGGAGGACCTCTTCCTTCCACTGTCCCCCTGACTGTCAAACACCTTAGTTTCTTTGACAAAAGGCTTGGCCTGCTGGTGGCCTCTGTGATTCAGCCTGGACCACCTTCCTCTAGTTTTTACTTGCTTGGCTCAACTAGCAAGACAGCTCAGCTAAACTTTCCTTCTAGATCCTTCCCTGACCTTTCTCCCTTATCACCCGCCTCATTCTGATTTGGTTTTCCCTGGGCTTCCAGGCCACTTGGTCATTTCCCCTATTACGACACTCACAACTCATGTTTAAAGTACTAGTTCATAAATTTCTTGAGAGCAAAGGTTAAAAAAATCTTTGTGTTCCCAGCACCTTACATCGGGGTCTCTAGATGAGCAGATCTGAGATCTCAAACTGGTGATCTACAGGCCTCATCCAGTTCACCAACCTATTTTGTTCGGCTTTTTAAAAAAAATTGTTTTAAATATCAGGTCCCTTTTTAAAATCTGGATTTACATAAAAATCGGGGTCATTGACTTCTCTTGAAAAATTAAGACATGCCCCCCACCCCACCTGTTTCCACCTGGCAGCAGGTGCCTGATGCAGAGATGGGCCACTTACATGGGATAGGACCTCTCACTTCACTGCAGACTCTGCTACTCCCTACTGCTTCCCATTGAGACTAAGTATGTATGAGCTGTCATTATATTGAGTGCGCTGTTTTACTTGGAGTCAGATAGCTCTCAGTACTGAAGGAGAGAAAGCAAGGCTAAAGCATCTTTCAAGAATAATTCCCGTTATTCTTGGTGAGCCCTTCTTTTTTGTTGTTTTTTAAATAATATATCTTTATTGGTTTCAAAGAGGAAGGGAGAGGGAGAGAGAGAAACTTCCATGATGAGTCATTGATCGGCTGCCTCCTACAGGCCTCCCACTGGGGATCGAGCCCGCAACCCGGGCATGTGCCCTGACCAGGAATCGAATTGTGATCTCCTGGATCCCAGGTCTATGATCAACTGCTGAGCCATGCTGGCTGGGCTACATAGTTTTTAATTCCAGAGATTTACTTAATAGAACTTTTGTTTCAAGGAGGGATTTTAAGTTATTTCCTTCTAAAATCTGGTAGCTTAGAGCTACATTGGTTGAACACGTATCCTATCTGGTTTAGTGGAACAGAGAATCTTTCTAAACACCTTGGGTGTTCAGTGTCCTTTAATGGCACCACTGAGTGTGGAGTGATAACATGGAGTCAAGGCCAAGTGTTCCTTTCTGCTCCAAACATGCCATGACATCATCACATATAACTCACGTCATCTGTCCCCTTCTTGCCTGGGATTTTAAATCGTTACTGTTTTGCCAGGCCACATTAGTCCTTTCCAAAGTGCAGAACTGTGATTGGGGTGGGATCAGTTAGGAAAAGCCTCCTAGTTGATTCTGACATACCCTTCCCCTCAGAACCCCCAGTTTGCCTTTTAGGCCCACTGACAAACACGTGAAGGGCATACAACAGGCTTATCAAGGGGAAAGGTGTCAGAGAATTTTACGTTCATTGAACTCAGGGTGGAAGAGTTCTGTACACTGGGAGAAAAAACAGCCGTGCAAATTGCATTTACTTTGGACTTGAGAAAAGCAGAGTGAACTCACCACCCACTAGAAAGAACCTAAAGCAGAACCAGAGTCCTGAGACCTGTATTTTGATGAAAAGATACAGCAGGGATGAGGGGAAGGTGGCTGTTCTGATGAGAAAATTCAGGGCTGTCACTTAATCTGATAACACTCTGCTGTGTGCCACCCCCATTCGAGTTACGGCCTAGGTCCTCAGTCTACACAGGCCTTTTTCCTTTCCAATTTATTTATTTTTTCCACATATTCCTTTTGCAATATTTTCCTTTAAACACCTAAAAACGTAGGTAAATAGAAGGAGGCCAAAGAAACATGAGTTAAACATGTGTTGCATATGACACATGTGCAGACAGGAAAATGTGTCATCTGACTCTCAAGCTTTGAGATACATTTATGAAACACATTGTTTTTCGTTTTTATAATCCTCACCTGAGGATATTTTTTCCACTGCTTTTCAGACAGAGTGGAAGGGAGAGAGAGAGAAACATTGATGTGAGAGAGACGCATCGATGGTGGCCTCCTGCATATGCCTGGACTGGGGCCCGGGATTAAGCCTGCAACTGAGGTACGTCCCCTTGGCTGGAATCAAACCCAGGACCCTTCAGTCCTTGGATGAAGGCTCTAACCACTGCGCCATACTGGCCAGGGCTAATAGCTGCGCTAGAAACAGGAGTATGGAAGATACATACAGACTGCAATGCATACATGTCTTACATTTAGCTATGGGAAATGATCAGCCAAATTTCCATTTCTACAAATCGTAACAAAATCTAGGATCATATCCAGTCCAACCACAGGTTTAGGCAGCATAGGGGTTCAGCTAAGTTTGCTTCGTTTTATAGGACAGGCACACAGCTGTGACTGAAAGGACCCCTGGCTTTAGGCCTCTTTCTGTTTGCAGACAGTAAATTTAAATCCTTTGTCCCCACAGACCAACTTAGCCCAGTAACCTTGGCTCCAGTTGCCGCAGAACCAACACACTCCCCAGATTTCCAGTTCTATATTCAGTGTTCGAAAATTGGTCATGTTGAAAGGGGAAGAACAATTTTACTTTGCCTCTGTTATTGACACCAAGAAGCACTCCTCAGACTGTTCAGAGGGGAAACAATGAGTCATTCATGCTGCAGGCCCAGGTGGTGCATGAATTCCAGGCAGAGGCTGCCGAGTTAACCCGTGAAGGCCCCCTTTCCCAGCTGAGGCTCCCTGCAGCCTCTGGGGGAAGTCCGGCAGAGCAGAGCAGGCCTGTGCTGGAGAGGAAGGTGAAATCCTGTAAGGAAGGCAGTGCCTCTGCAGGGCCAGTCCCCAGGGGCCTCTGAGCTGTTTGTCACCATGTGATTGGCTCCAGGAGAGGGGTGGAGAAGTGAAAACACTGCCCAGGATATATTTAGTTGAAGTGCAGCTGGGCAGGCCTTTAAACAAGGGAGCTTTTGTCCTCGGGCTGAAGTGTTTTTCCTAACTCCACAAGGGCGAAAAACCTAAGCCACATTCAGACACCCCCCTCCCCGCCATTTCTCCTTTTGGGGAAAATTTAGAATTTTCCGGGATTTGTTCTATAAGAAGAAACTGAGCAGCTTTGATGCAGAGTTGACACAAAAATTGAAAGCACACATCCTCACTGGACGACACAATTAAGAAATTCAGATCACTTCTTAACACATTGCTCTCTTATAATTAATTTTCTGTTGGGTCAAGTTGGAAGTTGGGTATTTTCAAACATCTTTAGTTGGACAAATTTATGGAGTTAAAAACATAATTAAGTTTTATAAGCTGACAGAACGCTGTTTCACCTGAGTTGATTCACATTTTCCAGTAATGAAAGGTTTACTTCTGCTCTGGTGGGCACAGCTTCTTTGCAACAGATTACTGATGAGCCATGTAATGGCTCCTGTTCACCTCCTCCTCGGGAAACCGCAGAGAACTGCCACCTTGCTACAAGGCCTCACAGCCGCTATGTAAATGCTGTATATTAGGGGCACGCTGTCTACTATAAGGAAGTAGCACAGGAAATCATTCACATGAAAAGCCTGTTTGAAGTTATGAATCAAGGGCAAAAACTTCTGGACAAGAAGTCCATGGCTTGACTAATACTAGAAAACCAGGCTCTGTGAGTCAGGGTTCTCTAGAGAACCCAGTAGGATGGATAGATGGGTGGATGGGTGGATGGGCGAACAGATAGAATTATTTTAAGGAGTTGGCTCAGTTGATTATGGAGGCTGTCAAACCCAAAATCTGCAGAGTGAACGAGAGACTGGTGCATGAATTCTGAAGGTCATGTGTGGCAGAATTCCCTCTTGCTCAGGGGAGGTCATTCTTGGTACTATTCAACCCTTCAACTGATTGGATGAGGCCCACCCAATACTATGGAGGGCAATCTGCTTTACTCAAAGTTTGGTAATTGAAAGG